CTCCTGCAGATCAATCAGCTCGTTGTACTGCGGTACAACGGCTGAGAGGGTAGGGTACAGGGAACCCTCGGCGAAGAGGGTGACTTGCTCGAATGGGGTGAGGAAGTCTCGGAGCTCGGCGAGGTCGTCCCAGTGCGCATCCATCAACCTGATGGCGTCCCACGCCTTCTTAGTCGCCTTGCTGATGGATGACTGGTATGGGTCACATGTGTTGTAAAGATGGAGGCACAGCATGGGATGGTGGCACATGCATGGGATGGTGGCACATGCATGGGATGGTGGGACTAGCATGGGATGGTGGCACATGCATGGGATGGTGGCACATGCATGGGATGATGGGCCATGCATGGGATGGTGGCACATGCATGTGATGGTGGCACATGCATGGGATGATGGCACATGCATGGGATGGTGGCACATGCATCGGATGGTGGCACTATTCAAGCCATGCCCACGTACCCCCATTCGCCATAGTCACAAGCGAATGGGAATCCTACCATACGTACATCTGAATCGTCGAAAAACATGGCAATGGGCATGCGCAGCTCGAAGCCCCTGTTCACCATGTGGAGTGTAGAACCCCATCTCGTCAGGCAGTCCACGATCAAACGCGACGGACCCGATGGTCGCCGAGAACCCGGAGGACCCTGGGGCCGGGTCGCCGCGTATCCCTTCTGGAGCTCGAAGAAACGATCTGTGCGCAGTGTGGACCAGCCGATGTAGTTCGCCACGTCTCGTAGCCTCTTGAGTGGCTCGGCCACCTCGTCAACCTTCAGTGCACCTTGCACTGCAAGGTTGACGACGTGCGCCATGCACCTGTTGGGGCAATGCATTGTGCAGAGTGGGTTTAATGTCAGTGTACCACATAAGCACTGCCATAACAAACATGGTGGACTACGCCAACAGTTTATAGCATACCCTTACGGAGACAGCCCCATAGTACCTGAAGTGCCTCCAGCGACTGAGCAGTGGTGGGTGCCTGGGCCGTGAGACCGGCCTGGCGTCAGGTACACCGGCCAGCAGACGCATCGCCCTGCTGTTGTTCTCGGCGTTGTCACACGTCACGGCGAACAACATCTTCTCCAAACCCCACTCCCTCAACACCTCCTCCAGCTCATCGGCTATCAAGTCCCCCGTATGAGAGCCCTTAAGCTCCCTGAAGTCTATAACAGCCTGTTTCAGCTGGAAATCGCTGGTGACATAGTGGGCAGTCACCCCCATGAAGGCCACATTGTTCTCACCGGTCCAGATGTCAAAGGTGAGGGACATCCTTCCCGCCAGGCCATCACCCACCAGTAGCTGCCGCATGTCCTCCCTAGCAGCCTCCCCGTATGCCTGCATGTCCCGTGCCAAGCGATGGCGTGAGCCGAGCAGTAGCGCAGCTCCCGGGTTCAGCATCTGGACAAATGCTTTGAACTGTAATGCAGGAATCAAAGGATGTCGGTAAAAGGATTATGAAGATGCTTCGGGATAAGCCAACAGAATGCAGTGCGGCTGCCCTGCACTAATATGACCACCTCAATACGAAGATGAACATGACCAACGGCAAGAGAACGGCGTCACTCACCTCGCGACACTCAACAAGTCGAAACGGAAGGTCAGCTGCCGCAAATAGCTGCACCAATCCCTCGCGCAACTGCTGGCCATGAACACGCGGCGTGACGAATGCGGCCATGCTCATCTGCCTATTCCCACCAGCCTCGGATCCGCCAGTCACTGCGCTGTCTAGTGTCTGTACAATCCTGGGCCACGTGGCTGCATGCTCCCAAGGCCACGCTGTCTGGTCGGGGACATCCGGACCCCATCCCCCATCGGGAAACGTCAGGTTGTCTGGCTTGTTTGGATCCTTGAAACGCCGACACCAGATCTGCAGACTGAGGTAGTGGCTCCTCTTGAGGTGTCTCTTCCCCGTGCTCGTGCAACTACCTTTCCAGCTAATCTTCTTCTTGCAAATCTTGCAATTCCTAGCCTCTTTCACATCCTTCTCACTGAACATGCCATGAACCAGCCTGGGTTCTGCATTCCTAAGCACCTCCTCAGTCCATGGGTCCAGCTCCTCGTCGGTAGGGGTCCTGCCCGCCCTGTCAGACCTCTGGCTTGCTCCAGCCCCCGCAGACCCACCCAAAGGTGCACCACCTGCCGCAGCGGCGGAGGTACCTGCCCCTGCTGCGCCCGACCCCTCAGAACCACCCGCGGCTGCCCCCTGCGGCTGCGAATTCGACGCCGGCCCGGCCCCTCCAGCTCCCGACCCCACAGGCCCACTCGTGCGTGGCCTCTTTGCTGTTGCACCGCTGCCACGCGCGCCACTGCCACCAGCCTGGCCCCCTCCTCTCCCTCCCCAACCCTCATCACCCGATCCTCCACTCGTGCCGGCCGCCTCCCTTGGAGCCGGCCTCCAATCCGGGTCCTTCTCCTTTCCCCGTGTTCCTTGCTCCTCCGTCACTGGGCCAGGTCCTTGAGACTCCCATTCCCGCACCTCTTCACGCCTCCTCCTCGCGATTGCATCGTCCCACCCAATTTCCTGCCCATTGAAGACGCTCCCCAAGCGAAAACTGGCCCTGGAGGCCGGTGTCGGGAGGCCTCCAAGCGAAGCCCCAAGAATAGCGCGTGAGCTGTCTTCTTCCCCCTCCATTCGCGTGCAAGCGGCGTCGATTACGTTTCAGACCTTAGAGTCGCGACGTTTTTGTAATGGCGCAGGCCTAGACAATTGGGGGTCGCGTCCCTAAAGATGTGGGCGTGGTAGGCGCGCAGTGGGCGATTTGAACGCGGGGCCAGAGTTTACTCGCGTGTGAGAGCTAGGAATAACTAAGTCTATAAAATCGAAAATCTGTGGTTGGTCGCGCTAGGCTAAGAAGTCCATTCCGCCAACATTGAAACACTTGAAATAGGGTTCCTAAACATGGGCGCTGGATTAGAGAGTTCTAGAGCTTGTGAACGAGCTATTGCTAGCTGCCTAGGTATAGCAGATCGAAGTCAATGTCGAGGGAACAAAAAAACCCTAGACATTGACTTCGCGATCTGCTTTAGTTCGAATTGTCGTGGGAGGGAAACTCGGGTCGGGCATAGGGCGCGGTACCCGATTTCGAGTCGGGTCAAATTTCGGGTCAAAAACTGACCCGACCCGACCCGACCTGGTTTTCGGGTGTCGGGTTGGCCCGACCCGGCCGGGTAAACCCGACCCGACCCGCCCGGGTCAACGCTTCAAAATGCCTGACCCGACCCGGGTCAAAACCCGGGTCGGTTCGGGTCGGCCCGACCCGCCTGGGCAGGATGATCTAGGGTTGAGCAAAAAACCGAACAGGTATTTTTTTTTGGCTTAAAATGTTCGCCGAACAGTGTTCGATGTTCGCCCGAACACGTTCGTGTTCGGGCCGCTGCTGCAATTTGCCCGCGACGAATACGAACAGTGTTCGAGGTTCGCCCAAACACGCCTTCACAGGCGAACGGCGAACACCATTTTTTGCTCAAAGTGTTCGCCGAACCGAACAGTGTTCGGTTCGGCAAACGAAGGTGTTCGTGTAGGGGCGAACACGAACACGTTCGTGTTCGCCACTTGCTCATCCCTAGGATGATCATGCCTACGCGAGGTGCACATCACATTTCGAAATGCCTAAATGTGCTTGTTTATAATCAGTTCTTTGTACTTCTCTGTTTTGAGTGAAATCAGTCCTGAAAAACCAGAAATTCTTTCCAAGCATTTTCTACCTTCAACGCTAGCCGGAGGCTATACCAAAACTAAGAGCTGGTATCAGAGCTTGGTTATCGTCGCGACAAGCCTTATTATAAAAGCGTTGGAGGAGTTATAATTTTTAGAGTAATTGGAGAGGACGGAAATTCAACGACATGGGGAATGGAGATGGAGAGGCCAGTTCAGGGTCTTCCGTGAACACTGGGAGTGCGCAGCTGCAGAGTCTGCTTGATGCCCTTGCCAAGGGGCAAATCGTGGCCAAACCGACAATTGGCCTAAGTGAAGCTCAACGCTTCAATGGAGAGAACTACGGCACATGGAAGCTGAAGTTCATGCGACGCGCCCAGGAGGTAGATTTGTGGCATTTCTACAACCCAGAGGCAGCGACGGAGGAAGATGGACCTGCACCTGCAACCGCACAAGAGAAAAAAGCGTTCAAGAAAAGAAGCCAACAAGCTTTCTTTCAACTCTGCCATTCGGTCTCGGATTCAATCGCAGCACGACTCGACCCGTTCTCTGAGGAGGACAACGCAGCAGAGAAGGCGTGGGCGTACATGGAACGAGTGTACCTCGGGAAAAGCGAGGCAAAGATGACAGCAGTGAGGACGAAACTCATATTGCTGGCCATGGAACCTTCCGAGACGGTAGTGGACTACGTGGGCCGTGCTAAAGGCTACAACGACGACCTGACAGCTATGGGAGTGCCCGAAAGGAGAAACAAATGATGAGCTACATCATTGGCGGCCTACCGAAATCATGAGCAGCAGAGAAGCGGATGCTGGCCTGCAGACGCCCGTCGGACATGACGGACCTGGTGGAGTCCCTTCAAGACGTTGCGCTTATACGTGCTGAGGAAGAGCGAAGGGAGGCGCTGCCGGAAAATTTCAGCAACGACAAACCTGCCATGTTGAACGCAACCGGGGCAGGAAAATCATTTGGAAATTGCTTCCACTGTGGGAAGAAAGGGCACAAGGCTGCCGAGTGTTACTCCAACCCAAGAAGCAAGAATTTCATAGGAAAGGGAGCAGGAGAAACCGGAGAAGGACAGAGGCCGAGAGGTGGATTTGCTGGAAACTGCAACCACTGTGGGAAATTTGGTCATAAGGCAATCGACTGCTACAGCAACCCGATGAGCAAGAGCTTCAAGGGAGGGCAGCAGCAGCAGAAGAATCACGTACCTGCGAAGATCAACGCCACCGAAGTGGAAACCAGCGACGACGACGTCATCCTCGGGGGAGCCCACAAGGCCAATGTTGCAAAAGCTTCGGGAGCATGCCTGCTTGCGAAGGGCCTTAAGGGGAAGGAGTGGTACATGGACAGCGGTTGTACCCAACACATGACGAACCAGAAGGAGTGGCTGAGAAATTTCAGAGCATCACCGATACCGTATGTGCTGTTGGGAGACGAGGGGAAACTTCCTATGAAAGGGGAAGGAGACCTAGTGCTGCAAAGTGCTTATGGTGAGGTGAAGCTGGACAACGTGCTGCTAGTGGACAAGCTCACGCTCAACCTCATTAGCCAATCGCAGGTGGATAGTGGTGGATGCAAAACTTTCAGCGACAAGGGGAGCATATGGGTCTTTGGAGCGGATTGGAAGGTAATAGCGGAGGGATCACGCAAGCAAGGGCTGTACGAGATGAAGCTGCACGAGAAACAGAGTGGGGACAAGGTCACGTACCTGGCTGAACCGGAAGCGGGTAAGGTGGCACGAGATGAGCTCCGCACCAAGTTCGAAAGGGTGCCGATCAAGGAGTTGCAGCAGCAGGCGCTTCCTATGGCAGCAGCAGTGAGCACGGTGGACGTCAACCTGCTGCATAGGAGGATGGGCACGCTGGTCATTATCGAATCAAGGAGCTGATCAAGAAGAACATGGCAGCGGGAGTGAAGGTACCTGAGGGTGGAGAGGAAAATCTGAAGTGCAGCACATGCGTGGAGGCAAAAGTGACAAAGGCACCACATCCCAAGCATGGAGTCCGTGAGCCATACGAGACGATGGCCATTGTGGCAGCCGACGTATGTGGACCGATGCGGGTGGCTTCACGACATGGCAGCAAGAATTCCGTTACCTTCACCGACCTTGGCACACGACACACGTGGGTGACTGAGATCAAGAACAAGTCGGAAGTCCTCACGAGCTTTCTTGATGTGCAAACAGAAGCGGAAAGGCAAAGCGGCAAGAAGCTGAAGGTGTTACGCACGGACAACGGGGGAGAATTCGTCAACGCCGAGTTCAACGCGTACCTGAAGTCAAAGGGCATACGAAGACAGCTCACGGTCTCGTACACACCTCAACACAATAGCATTGCGGAGCGAGTGAACCGATCACTGCTGGAGGGTGTGAGGAGCTTGCTCGCGGATAGCAACCTGCCTCTTCACTACTGGGGAGATGCGCTAGGCATGGCATGTTGGCTGAAAAACCGTTTACCGACAAAGGGACTAGCGGCGGATATTACCCCTCACGAAGCGTTCTACAAGAGGAAGCCGAATCTGGAGTTCTTACGTGTTTAAGGCTGCATGGTGCAGTACCGTGAGGCGACGGGACCCAACCATAAGCTTCTCCCAAGGACCAAGTGGGGGATTCACTTGGGAATCTGCCCGGAGAGCAAAGGGTGGGTGATTACGCGATGTGGAGACCGGAAAAGTCACGACGACCAGAGATGTTACCTTCTACGAGCAAGACACCTACTTGGAGTGGAAGGGACGGAAACAAGGAGCTGTTGCAAAGGAAGCGACAGCAGCACCAACTCCACTGGAGGAGATGATAGATGGGAGTGAGAAGGAGGGGATAGGGGCAGCCAATGGAAGCGGTGACAATGACGACTACGAAGACCACACTACACCGGGCTTCGAATGGGTATGGGAGGTGCAGGAGTTGTCCTCACCTTCAACTGCTGTGGAAGAGGGTGAAGAAGAATATGATAAGGGAGAAGAAGCGGGTGACAACGCAACAAATGAAGCCGGTGAGGAAGAAGCTTAAATGTCAGATGTGGAAGAGAGTGTGGCTGAATCTGCCACCACGGGGTACTCCGACCCATGGCGCATCATTGACACGGGGGACAATGAAAAGGTGGCAGTAGAGATTGAAGACCTACTTTCGGACGGTGCGATCGTCATTGGAAGGGAGATTGAAGGAGATTTCGTGCAACAAGGAGCGGATGATAATGCAGCAGCAGAGAAAAGTGGAGCTGAAAATGAGAATCAGGAGATGGGGAAAGGGAAACGAGTCAAGAAACCCAATCCTAAGTATGCCCAAATGCTTCTGACCTGCTGCAAGGACATTCACACCCACCTCCTCCTTACCACCACGGCAACGGCATTACTATCTAAGGGGAAGGTGGAAAGCTGCCCACCGAGCCTCTTACCATTGAAGAGGCGCTGACCGGGCCAAACAAGGAGCAGTGGAGGGCTGCAATCCAAGAGGAACTTGATACCTTGGCTGAAAGGGGGACATGGGAACTTGTGAACATGCCCGAGGGGAGGAAAGCAGTGGGAGTGCGCTGGATTTTCAAGATAAAAACGGGAGACATGGGGCAACTTGAACGCTTCAAGGCATGTCTTGTGGCTAAAGGCTACACTCAAGTGGAAGGAGAGGACTACGACCAACTCTACGCACCCGTTAGCAAGTTAACAACGGCAAGGACCATGCTTAAGGTGGTGACGGCACGCGGGTACTTCATGGTGCAGCTGGACATAAAAAATGCCTTTCTCTATGGCATTTTGAAGGAGACTATCTACATGAATCAGCCACCGGGGTGTGAGGACGGCACAAACAGAAAGTGCAAACTCATCAAAGCACTTTGTGGGTTGAAACAAAGCCCACGGGAGTGGTACCTAGCTATGGATGCGCAGCTGGAAAAAGGAGGGTTCATCAAGAGTCAATGTGACCGTGCATTCTACTGGAAGGGAGAGGGGGAGAACAAGGTGTTCCTAATCCTCTACGTGGATGATATCCTAGTGGCTGGAGCAAAGGAAGAGAAGGTGGAGGAGGTGTGCACTCACCTCGCAGCTGTATTTCAGGTGAAGAAGATCCCAAGGACTACTCTCTTCCTTTGAATGAACATAGAGAGGAACAAGGAGGAGAAGAAGTTGCTGCTATACCAGAAGAAGTACTTTCAGAGTTTGCGGGAGAGGTTTGGAGGTCAATGCAAGACCAAACCAGTGACAACACCTCTCAGCGGCCTTGCGGACAAGGAGGTCGATGTGGGAGCAGAGAGTGAGGCATGGGGCAACAAGGAGAAAGCGCTCAAAGCTTACCAATCCATGGTAGGCTCAGTCATGTACCCGGTGTCATGCACACGGGTTGATGTGGCCTACGCTGCAAGCTTTCTTGGGCAGAGAGTGTTGCAGCCCGAGGGACGCAAGTGGAAGGAAATGGAGCGGACTATCACTTACCTCCTGCAGCGGGACGATGAGGGGCTGCTGTTTGAAGGTGGAGAGGAGAGCCTAGAGCTAGTGGGGTATGCTGATGCCTCACACGGATCAGACAAGATTGATGGGAGGGGAGCCTATGGCTATGTCTACCTCCTTGGTGGAAGGGCAATCATGTGGCAAGCCAAGAAGCTCACCGACGTTGCTCTATCCACCACGGAGTCTGAATACATGGCGCTGTTTTATGCATGCCAAGAAGGTGTGTGGCTGAGGCGTCTACTTCAGGAGATGGGGGTCAACGGGGACGGACCTACAATGATCAAATCGGACAGCAAATCGGCAATTGACCTCGCACGAAACGACAACTGGCATGGGCGCACGAAACACATGAACGTGCGGTACCATTGGGTACGGGAGCAGCTACAGAAGAAGGCATTCACCTTCGTGCACGTGGGAACACATGAGCAGCCAGCGGATTTCCTCACCAAGGTGCTACCAAAGGCAAACTTCGAGTTTGGCAAGTATTTTGTCGGCATGCGTACCTTGCAGGACTTGCGGGGGAGCAGCGGAGCAGCAGCCCGAGATGCTACACCAACGTACGGACAAGCTCAGCAAGAGAAAAAGAAGGCTGGTTACATGGTAACCATAGGAGCATAGGAGAGTGGCAGCTGGCAAACCATGGGGGAGATTGTTAGGGTGGTTCGCCACTGCCCCCTAGTGCCTACCGACCTACGCACTTAACCTAGGGATGGTAGCACGACACTATGAACGGTGGGAAATGTCGACCTAATGCGGAGAACCGACAGCTATAACGGTGGGGCTGCATGCTAAGGAGCTAAGGAGGGAAGGCGAGAAGAAAGCGGGAAAAACGGAATGGTGGGAGAGTGGGTTTCAGGAAATGTAGAGAAGACATTTCTGTAACCTAAATTGTGCAACCGCAACCGAACCGTGTTTGGTGCGAATGAGACAACCAGGTTTCGGTTCCGGTGTCGGTTACCGAAATCGGTTCCGCATGCGACTCGGGCTGAAACGCGGATGACGCGTTACCCGAGGTGCACATCACATTTCGAAATGCCTAAATGTGTTTGTTTTCAATCAGTTCTTTGTACTTCTCTGTTTTGAGTGAAATCAGTCCTGGAAAACCAGAAATTCTTTCCAAGCATTTACTACCTTCAACGCTAGCCGGAGGCTATACCAAAACTAAGAAAAAACGGACTGGTTGATATACAGAAATCAATTCTGTATTAACACACCCCCCCTCAACCTGTCGGGTTTTCTCCATGTCTCCCTTAGTTCATGCTCATGCCGCTCATCCGCGCACACCGCCAGTGTGGTTCATGGACCAGTCGCTTGGTCAGAACATCTGCCGGCTGCTGCTGTGTCTTGATGCAGATCGGATTAACTGTTCCACGGTTAACTTCCTTGCGCAGCCAGTGCCAGCTTTAGGCGCATATGTTTGTTGAGGCCGTGAAGGATAGCGTTGTGAGCCATTGCGATTGCCGTCATGTTGTCGCAGTATAGTGGCGTGGGAATCGTTTGCTCCTGACCGATCTCTTCCAGTAACCTTCTCAGCCATATGAATTCCTTCACGGCATGAAACATGGCCATGTACTCGGACTCGGTAGGTGAGAGAGCTGATTCACTTTGTTTTTGGACCTCCAGCTCACCGGTCCTCCCCCCATCACACAAATGTATTCACCCACGGAGGATGAATCTTCCTGCTCAGATGCCCACGTTGTGTCCGAGAAACAAGTGAGGAAAAGTTTCTGTTTCGGTAGCCGTTCTCCCTTCTCTCTCAGCAGCTCCACCCCCTTCTGCTTCTGTTGTGCCGTTGCTGAGTATTGAACTCCCACACTTGGAAATGAGTTCAAATACTTCACGACCCTTTCAGCTGCATCAACTTGCTCCTCAGTGGGGTTGGACAGCCACCCTTGCGAGTTGTCCGACCGCAAAAGAGATGTCCGGCCTTGTGTGTACAGCGGCGTACAGAAGGCTTCCCACAAGTGATTGGTAACGCCGCTGGTCTCCCTCCTCAACTCCTTCTCCTTCCTCCGCCTTGACAAGTTTGAACTCGCATGGTAACGGGGTGGCGACCTTCCGTTCGAGCTCCATGTCGTACTTCTCCAGCAGTTGCTTCACGTACTTCTCTTGGTGAAGCTTCAGCCACATGTGGTCAGGGTCGCGTTCGATGTGCATGCCGAGGTAGTAGGAAGCCTCCTCGAGGACCTTGCACTAGAAGGTCTCCATGAGCCCTTTCTGCACCTTTTGAATCTCCGTCATGCCTTACGGCATGCTGCCACTTTGAGTTTCCGAGACCGGACTCGATTAGTAGTGCTCGGGCTGTCTCGAGAATCGTTCTGTTTGCTCGCTCAGCTACCCCGTTGGACTGTGGAGAATAAGCTGTGGTCTTTTCCTTTATGATTCCCCTCTTCTTCAGCCAGGTCTCCAGCTTGTCTCCCGTGAACTCTCCACCACTGTCAGTGCGAATCCGCTTCACCCGACATTCAGATTGTGTTTCTGCCGTAGGAATCCATTCATCTTGAATCACCGCTGCTGCATCGCTCTTTTGCCTGAGGGGGTAGGCCCACATAACTCTGCTCCAGTCGTCGATGATCGTGAGAAAATATCGCTCTCCCCCATCCCCTTGCACTGGCAGTGGCCCGACAAGGTCCATGTGCACTAGTTCCAGCGGCTTTTTGCCGCGCTTGGAGACCGAGGAGAAGGGGAATCTGGTGAACTTGCTCACCAAGCATGTTTCGCACGTATGTTGCGGGGTGGTGCCGCTCAGCTTCAGTCCATTTACCGCTTCCTCTTTGACCAGCTGCTGCAATACCGTCATGTTGACATGTTCGAGGCGCCTGTGAGCAGTCACCCAATCTGTTTCTCTGCTTCTTGCCGACACCAGTTCCTCTGACACACTTAGAGCGCTGTTCTCCCCCAGGCCTCTGGTCTCATCCCTTTCCCATGGTACCACCGGTAGTTGCCACATGGACCTGAAGACATCCTTGTCTTCGTGCAGATCCCATAGAAATCGATTTCCTAACTCCCCCTTAACGCTTTTCGATCCATTCGTGTTGGTGCTGACTCCGGCCTTGCCAAGCCTCCTGAGCGATATCAGATTCGCCTTTAAATCCGGGACCAGTAGCACATTCTCTAGTATGACAGGATTACCGTCTGCTCCCTTGAACAGTGCTCGGCCTGCTCCTTGCACTTGCAATGCGTGTCCTGATGCTGACCGAACTTCCGAAATTGGTGCTGCACCAACTTTGTCCTATAGATCAGATCTCGGAGTCATTGTCCACGATGCTCCCGTGTCTAGAATCCAGGCGCTTAATGGGTGAAGCTCGGCTCCCACTTTCGCTGAGGCCCCACTTTCATTTTCTTCCCCCTCCACATGAAAAAATTGTCTTGCCGATCGCTCGTTGTACTCTTCTTCATCCGCATAGTCTTCGGAGTCGTTGTTCATGGCTCTTGCTCCCCTTCCTTCATTCGACTGATTCGTGGGGGTCCACCACTCCGGCTTAGTGTTGCACTTGAACCAGGGATGCCCGATCTTCTTGCAGTACCAGCAACGTCCTTGCATTCTTGTATTGCCCCCATTGGCCCCAT